TGTATGTATGCATGCATGTGCGCACGCACGCATGTGTGTGTATATATATATATATCAGCATTTCTTGGATTATACACCTAAACATTGCTTTTTCAGCATATGTGTCACAGTCAGCAGCCAGCCCCCCAGTGTGCTTTTTTGGCACCATCGCGTCGTAAATCTCGGCTTGCACCTGCCAGGATGGAGCCGATGAGAGCTAAGCAGCCTGCCGAAGGCCCCCTAACAAAAGAGCAACTTTCTCGATTTATTCTTTGGGCTTCAAACACAGGATATGAGTATACATACATATATATATATATATGTATATATATATATACTTATTAGACACGGCAAATGAACTTTGGGCAAGGGGACACATCGACCGAACGATTCTGTTGACCACAGCTCTCTGGCCAAATGCGCCATTCGGCTAAATCGTCGTATTTTAGTCAGGGTCAAAAATGCAAGATGTCACCAAACGTTGACCCAGGCAATGAAGGGCAATCATATTATCTCACTGCCTGAGTGGATTTGCAAAAAAGGTATAAACTTTCTGCCTACCACTAAAATGGCCAAAGAGTGACTCAAGTACAGGAACTCAAGAGATGCCCAATCATGGAACGTACTAAAAAGCCAAAAGCTATTTCTCTCCTAGCGAAGCCACAACGGAACCAAAAGGGGATGGAGACAGAGTGGGTTGAAGAATGTGCAAAGAAATCACGCATGGACCATCATGAGCCTATTGAGTTGGTATAAGAGGTTGTGCTGAAAGAGACCATGTCTCAGGGTTCATCGTAAACATAAGCAAACACCTTCCTGCCAACCATCAACCTGCACCAGCCTGACGAGCTCCAAGCCAATCTCTCCGCACCTCATGCGTGCGCAATCTGATTTGTGCAACATCATTGGAAATCAAGCTGCGCATGGTTTTGCAAACAACCAAAGAAGTATGTGGCTAAAAGCAACTGGCAGGTCATCCGCACTCCGTCCTTTTGCTCACGACACGCAAGGCTGATCTGCAAAAACTGTACTCCAAGATAAACCGCAGTGGCCGGCATTTAGCCCCTCAAACTGCATATAAGATGCTCTCGGTGTATTCGCCCACATGTTTTAGGGTCGTGTAAAGCGACGGGCAGTCTACCGGCCACGCAAAGCGATTGACCCATGCCCCGCGATAATGCAAAGCTGATCTGCAAAACCTTGTCAAGGCTCGAAATTGAAGGCAGAGCCAAATCATAGTGGCCGGCTTCAGAAGCACACATCTCTCACATTTGGGAATCGTGCAGAGTAATAGTTGGCCGGCCACATCCAGGCTGCCCACGCACTCATGCAGCAGCTACTCATGCGCCCGCAACCGTGCAAGGCAAAACCAAAGTGGCCGGTATTCGCCAAAAGCACCTGGCGTATTCGCCCACATGTTTTAGGGCTGTGTGAAGCGACGGGCAGTCCACCGGCCACGCGAAGCGATTGACCCATGCCCCGCGATAATGCGAAGCTGATCTGCAAAACCTTGTCAAGGCTCGAAATTGAAGGCAGAGCCAAATCATAGTGGCCGGCTTCAGAAGCACACATCTCTCACATTTGGGAATCGTGCAGAGTAATAGTTGGCCGGCCACATCCAGGCTGCCCACGCACTCATGCAGCAGCTACTCATGCGCCCGCAACCGTGCAAGGCAAAACCAAAGTGGCCGGCATTCGCCAAAAGAACCTGGCGTATTCGCCCACATGTTTTAGGGCTGTGCAAAGCGACGGGCAGTCTACCGGCCATGCGAAGCGATTGACCCACGCCCCGCGATAATGCGAAGCTGATCTGCAAAATCGAAGGCAGAGCCAAATCATAGTGGCCGGCTTCAGAAGCAAACATCTCTCACGTTTTGGAATCGTGCAGAGTAATAGTTGGCCGGCCACATCCAGGCTGCCCACGCACTCATGCAGCAGCTACTCATGCGCCCGCAGCCGTGCAAGGCGAAGCCAAAGTGGCCGGTATTCTCCAAAAGCACCTGGCGCGTTCGCCCACATACTTTGGGATCATGCATAGCGACAGTCTACCGGCCACATCCAGGCTGCCTACGCGCTCTCACTCAAAAGGGAAGCTGCTTGGTCTCATTCGCTGGCAGGCACAGCTGCTTGTCACAAATCAGGGCCATGCCGTTCGGAGAGAGCTTGTTCGCGCTGCACTTGAAAGACCTATGTTGAGCAGCTGTGCAAGGGGAACAGACATCGCGAGAAAGGGCAGCACCCAACACGTTATTTGGAAAGAGCTCCTAGCGATCGCCAAGTTGCCACAAAAGCTTCATGGAAGGGATGGACTCAACCGCCTTCTTGACTTCCAGCAGCTCTGAAGCAAACTGCTGCAAGTAGAGCGGCTCATCTGCTGACGGCGTGAGCTTTGAGGCAAGAGCTCCTTCAGGGAAGGCTTTGTAGCCGTGGACTTGAGTTACCTTGCTCTTCGAGATGAGGGCCTTCAGCGAGATCACCTCTTTGCCGTCGGCGTTCCACACCAACGTCGCTGGCGTCACAGTGTACAGGATCCCCTCCACCTCAGCCCCACCCCCCCGCGTGAATTTGCCCGCATGATAGGTCTTGATCAGCATCTTCTTGGGGAGCCGCCGGTTGGCTGGGTCTTTCGACCTGATGCTCATGAAGGTGCCCCCTGGCCCCAGCAGGATCTCGCATGGAGGGTCGCTCAGAGCAGCAATAACAGCCTCAGACGCGCCCCCGCCACGGTAAGAGCAGAAACAACCCCCTCTCTAGATTAAAAGCTCGCTCAATAAGGGAAGCAGCGATAGCACCAGGTGATTCATACAAGGCGGGCTGTTGACCAAAGCTCTACAAGATGGGGTTTACAGTGTGAACGAACGTGGTCCAAAGGGTGAGCGCAAATGCCACGCGGCGGGCTCACCTCATTCATGAGGCAAATCAACAAAACGATGACTACTAGCATAAAGCAAGAGGCAGGTGCTCCAGCGGGCTCGGTCTCTGTTGTCGGCCCTGCACCTGCCTTTGGAGATGGAGCCGGGGTCGGAGATGGAGCAGGCTTTGGCGACGGAGCAGGCTTCGGGGAATTCTCTGGCTTCGGCGATGGGCTCGGCTTCGGGGGCGGGCTTGGAGCTGGCGCTGGCCTTACTTTGCCGAACACGCATGTCATGAGCTCTGAAATGCTCTTAGCCAATGATTGCAAAGATCAGCGCCCAAGATCCCACTTACCTCGCCAATCATACCGCTCAAAACCCCTAGTTCATGAAACTGCACCTGACAGCCCACCTTTACAAGTGTGGACTAGTAATTAGCACGAAGACTCACACGCCTGAAGTTCCTTTACCCGAGGGACTTGTTCAGACTTGCTCAGGCCGCTGCTGAAATTCAATCGAAAAAACCTGGTGACTAGTAATTAGTATGTGCCGAGATGCGATGGGTCCGATGCGCTGCTGCCGGCGTTGACAGTGTGCTTCTGAAACAGCTGTTCAAGGCTGCCCTTGAAGCGCTTGTCTGCCGGCTGGAGCAGCTCGTCGAACGCTGGCCGGTGGACATCATACGTCAAGCCGTACGAGACGACGATCTCCGACCGGCTCGCGATTCCTACGCAGTTCGCTGTCCGAACAATGAGTTCAATGGCACCTGAGTTTGGCCCGCGCGATGATGTGACACGGAAGGTAGCGTTGGGGCCTCGCCGAGCCCCGTTGTATGAGTTGCAGAAGCGACTGCAGCCTACCTGCACTGCGTAAACTGGAGCAGGGCGACCCTCAGTCAAGACCCCCTCAAAGCGGATGATGCCGTCTGCAAAATACGCGTTCCCCGCGCACCGCAGAGCTTCGATCACTTTCTGCTCGTCGCTGAACAGCAATGCCGTCACTGGGCAAATCACTTCCTCGGCTAGCTCGGGGAAGGTCACTGAACCCATAGCCCAAAACAACAAGGCTTCAGCCACACAATAAGCTGCAACGAGAAAACGGAACAGTGACAAAACATCTCTGCCCTTTACCTTCATAGCCCTAGCTTGGGGAAGTCATTTCTCGGTGGCCTGAGCTGGAGCGTGCGCTTCAAACAACAAGCGCTAGAAAACAAGCGAAACCCGTGTTGCAACAAGTGGCCTAGGTCTTGTTTTTGTCAAAGAAATAACTCTGCCCAGGCCACTTGTTAAACGAGCCTCTCCCAACGAGATCTATATGAGAATCAATGGCAAAGATGTTGTTTCGCACTGCTCCGTATCCTTGAGTGGAATGGTCAAAGGTTTTCACGGATGTTGAAACCAGTGGCCTAGGTTGGAGAAGGTCACTGAACCCATAGCCCGAAACAACAAGGCTTCAGCCACACAATAAGTTGCAACGAGAAAACGGAACAGTGACAAAAACATCTCTGCCCTTTACCTTCATAGCCCTAGCTTGGGGAAGTCATTTCTCGGTGGCCTGAGCTGGAGCGTGCGCTTCAAACAACAAGCCCTAGAAAACAAGCGAAACCCGCGTTGCAACAAGTGGCCTAGGTCTTGTTTTTGTCAAAGAAATAACTCTGCCCAGGCCACTTGTTAAACGAGCCTCCCCCAACGAGATCTATATGAGAATCAATGGCAGAGATGTTGTTTCGCACTGCTCCGCATCCTTGAGTGGAATGGTCAAAGGTTTTCACGGACGTTGAAGCCAGTAGCCTAGGTCTTGTGTTTGTCCAAGAAAAAACACTGCCCCACCTCCAAGCCAGAGCTATTGGGCTGAACGGCTGAGATATCGGTTAGGCGGTTTGGCCTTGTGGGGTAGAGCGTTGAACGGGTTGAACGTTCAAAACGGGCGTTGCAGCCAGTGGCCTAGGGCGTTGTGTTTCCTTCAAGAACATGAGGGGGCGTTTTGCCGAAGGTTGCAACAAGTGGCCTGGGGATCGTTTTGCGCCAAGTAAAAACAGCTTCCAGGCCACTTGTGAAATGCCTCGAATTGGAGAGGGAGACCTGCATGTCACTTGTTACATGGCGTTCACCAAGGTAGAGCTACGCAGCTACGAGATTAACAAAACTCACCTCGTTCCATTGCTCATTGCTAAGCCGCTCCTTCTCGCAGAGGCTTCATTGCCACCAGGCCCTTTCCACGTCCGGCGAAATCCGCGACAGCCAGCGAGTGGTCGTCCAGCTGCTGCTGAATCAGGGGGATCGAGATGTCTCGTAGGTTGCTCGGCCACTCGTTGATGCCTGAGAACTTATCCGCAGAGTCGGCACTCAGAGACAGCCACTCCACTACTTGGTCCTCCGCAGCGAGCTTCCCGCCATCGATGTACTGCAGCTCGGTCGTCTGCAGCCTTCTCTTGAAAGAAATGCTAAGCTCCACCTGCGCCTTCTTCAGCAAGTAGTCCTCGCAGATGGCGTGGGCGTGATTGATGCTGTGCTGGGTGGGTCGATCTACCAACATCAAGCAATCTGTGCCCATCAGCCGGCAGGCCAGCGGCAAGGCTGGGTGCGACGAAGTGGACATGCCGACGATGTAGCCGACACTCTGCAACCGGGCGACGTCCTCCATGAGGCGCTTGTAGAAGTCCACCGGCCTTGTGTAGGGAAACAAGTCGACAAGAAAGTCTCTCTTAGCCTGGCCGCGGTCCATCATGTCATCCTCGTCCATGTCGGCGGAAGTGGGATTCTCGTCATCCTGCATCTCCAGGTTCTCTTCTTCCAAATCTTCGCCATTAATCTCCTCGCCAACGAAGAAAACGAACCAACCACCACTTATAGGGGAACCTATGCAAGCAAGTAGCCCAACACTGGCCTGTGGCACTACCAGTTTGTTAGCCCTTACGAAAGCGCTGCCGCAACCCTTCTCGCCTGGTCTGGCCCTGCTGTCTCATCCAGCGTTTTCTGAGCCTCTTCTGGTCGGTGCTTGCAGTGTCGGTCCGTGCAGCGCAGGCGCGCCCTCTCAATGGGCTTTGCCCGGCATGTAAGCAAAGGGCTGGAAGTAGGAACCGCCAGACTGGATGTAAAGGCGCTGTGAATCAAGGCCACGTACCCAGGGCGCTTTTTCTGCACTTGCTCTTGTCCGCTGGTAACCTGCACGACATATGAGCTGGCCTTGCTGCTGTCAGCCTTGAACAGCGTGTTGGCACGTGTGCATACGGTGTGTAGAAGATCTAGCCGATGCCCTGCCATGACAATGATTGTCCAGCGGGTTAAGCCGAAGCTTTGAACTGCCTCGTGGACAAGTTCAAGGTAGCCTTGCCAGAAGCGACCCCCTCATACTGACCCCTGAACACTCTGAGGCGCCTATCTCTACCCTGGGGCCAATGAGACACGACATGAGGGTCGCAAAACAGTGGGTCGAGGTGCTGATGGTGATCTTGGGTCTGCTTGTCTGGGCGTCGATGACGAAGCCGACCCTCTGCGACTGGTGCAGCCGTGTCTTCATGGCCTCTTTCAAGTCTTGCGCTGAGCGAAAAGTAATGATCTTGCTCAACTCTTCGATCATCTTCGCCTTCGCCTTCAAAAGCTCTGGGTCCTCCTCCACTTCGAGAACAATCTCTGTGGCCATCTCTTCATCATCTGCCTCACGCCATGTGCGCGATTTGAACGCATGCCGGGCGCTCCCAAAGTGCAAGAAGCAAACTAAAAAGGCGACCTGCTGCTGGAATCTACCCAACAATGTTCCGCAACAACTTGGCGGAGCACTGGCTGCTAAATTACTAAATTATAAATGTCTTAAGTTGCTCACCTGAACATCCTCGCCCAAACAGGTGGCTTTAGATTGGCCCGGACGAAACTGGGTAAAACAAGTGGCACATGGTCAAGTCGAAAAGCTCGAGATGTGTAGGTCAAGCATGCCGAAACGGAAGGAGAAAATTCAACTCAGTAGTGGGAAGCGACACTGGCTTTGCTTAACTTCCGCGCCTCTGCGCGCGCTTGACCACCGGTCCCTGCCTCTGCCGTGGCCGTTTGACCAGTCTGCGGATCACTGCCTGCCAGCTGCTTCGCCATCTCCAAATAGATTGTTCGGCACTCTACAATGCCTGCTTGACTGTCAGAAGTGCCGTGCAGCGGCACGCCCGTAGATTGGCAGTTTCGCACCTTCTCAATTCCCGCAGGAGTCTGCAAGCTCCGAGTTACCCGCCAAAACTGCTGGCACTCCTGGGCAACTCGGCCGAACTTCTTGCAGATGCTAGCCTCCCAGACTTCAGCCGCCCGCAGTGGAGCACAAACATGAGTCTTGAACCACGAGGCGCTCGTCGCCCGGTCCTGTTTCCTCAGATGACTCTGCCGACAGAAACAGACATGCTCTACTTGCATAACACTACAGCAACCAACTCGCAATCAGAGTACGGCTGGGCCTCTACCTTCCAGCCCGTCATAAGTGTGGGCGCAGCTATTGAAAAGGCGCTGCACAAGGGTTGCAAACGCATGCACCAAGTCAGCAACACATCCACGAGGGAGGGATAGTATACATAATTAGCAGCTGCTAACAGGCCTTTGTTAGCTGAACGTGCCCCTCTTATTATAACCGAGTAGAAGTCCGACCCCCCAAGCAGAACTACTTTTCTGCGACGTAACGCAGCTTTGCCAAGAGTCTTGTAGTCTTCCCACAGGTGCAAGGCCGTCAGCCCGTAGCGCCCGGACATTTTCTTCTTCGAGTTCGCATCGAACCCCATCAAGAACGGATTGTCAAAGACGTATGTCTGGGGGATGGAAGAGAGAGGAGGTACTCCAAGGGCTTCCTGCAGCTCTTTGGGGAGGTGTAGTTCAGCCCGTTTCCACTTGTGGACAAGCTGCTTCTTGCCGGCGCCGTAGATCTTCAAGATTTCTTCCACTGCCTGCTCCGGGTCACCATTCGCAACTTTGGCCCGCTGCGATCTGATGACCGCGAGCTTCTGCTCCAAGTTCGTCTCCTGCAGCTTGAAGGCGGGGGAAAACGAGTGGGAACAATTCGGTGAATCTTTAAGGTTCTTTGCACTACGCCCTTGCCTGTTAGGGAAAAGGAAGTGCGTAACAAGCAAAAAAGTGAGTCTTTCAGCTAGCAACTTTGCTATCGATCAGGCTCCTTAAACTGGTTGCTCTCCGAATCATGGGCCAAGGTCTGGCACAAGATCCGCAGGTCCCGGCTGTCTTCGGCGTAGCAGACATAGTCAATCGGGACCCCGTTCTCGAAAAGGTCACGCAACTTCGGGCACGCGACGCCACCGCCAGCCTGCAGCTTGGACAGCACTGTGATCGTGTGCAGCCCATCGTCCACCAGCATGAGGCCCCGGTTGTCCAGCAAGTTGTTCGCGCCGTCGAAGGACTTCAGCAAGCGAACCGGGCGGTGAAGACCAACTCCCCAGTTGCCCGCAACAAACTCCTTGGTCAACTCCTCGAGCCGGGTCGGATCCAATCGCCTGCGCCAGGGCTAATAGGGAATCAAAAGGAGACTGTGTTCGTGTTCCCAGTCTGGGTTGAAAAATGCCCTCGCCTCCACCCACTGCATCCCTCCTCCAGGCTGATGTCGTCCAGCTGCACCCGCTGGGACGTGAGAACGACCCGGCATCCAACCCCAAGAGGCCCGCCGCCTTTCGTGTCGCTCTTGGGCGCCATCACCAAGAGAAAGCCAAAAACTGCTGTCACGCACGCTTTCCGAAGCAAATGCAAAGAATCCAACAGTGCTTGCTCCCATCACTATGCGTGCGCTGCTCAAGGCTGCTTAGCCCACAAATGGATATAGCCCAAAATGGGCTGCCTCCTTTGTGAGAGGATTTAGCGGAAGCCCTTCTAAGTCATGGCAAGCCAACAGATGGTTTTGTCTCGCATGGGAACCCCCAAATGGGCAGCTTCCTTTTGGATTACATCCCAACAGGGTACCCTCAAAAAAAGACACACCCAGAAGTTCACCGTACAACTCTTCAGCTGCTCTGGATTCGAATTGGGGATCATTAGCTTTTGGGGGCCCGTTCTTTTTTGACCCTCCACATGTGTCCCTAAGTCATGGCAAGCCAACAGATGGTTTTGTCTTGCATGGGAACCCCCAAATGGGCAGCTTCCTTTTGGATTACATCCCAACAGGGTACCCTCAAAAAAAGACACACCCAGAAGTTCACCGTCCAACTTTTCAGCTTCTCTGGATTCGAATTGGGGATCATTAGCTTTTGGGGGCCCGTTCTTTTTTGACCCTCCACATGTGTCCCTAAGTCATGGCAAGCCAACAGATGGTTTTGTCTCGCAAGGGAACCCCCAAATGGGCAGCTTCCTTTTTGATTATATCCACCCTCAAAAAAAGACACACCCAGAAGTTCACCGTACAATTCTTCAGCTTCTCTGGATTCGAATTGATCATTAGCTTTTGGGGGCCCGTTCTTTTTTGACCCTCCACATGTGTCCCAGCAAGGATCCCTGATTTGGACCTTGGATGGACCAAGAAGTTCTTGGGTGAAAGTAGATATTCATGTCCCCCCAAAGCAGAGCACGCTGTCAATGACTTGTGAGTCCCCAGGGCACCCGGCTAGCTCATGATGAAGAGCGCCTGCGTCCCCAAGGTGGCAAGTGGCCTTGGCGAATGCTCGCGGGCGCAACTATGCCACCTACCATGCAAGCAAGCACTCCCGCAAAGCTCATATAGCTGGCAGCTTTTGCACATTCGATAGCTTTTAGTCCTTGATCTGAGTCAAGCTCATGGCTATTTCCGCCGCAAAGGCTTCAGGATACGCCTCCCCAAGGCGTGTTCTGAAGCAGCCCCTGGGACAGACGCCGCTTAGTGGCTCGTGCCGCAAGCCTGTCCTGTGGCACAGACGGCCTGTGCACTTGCGACAGCAAGGTGGGTGGCAAAGCCAAAAAAGCACCTGGGTATTCTTTCTGAAGCGTCTGCCGAACATGCAATAGCTAGCCTTCCACACAGCTGCTCCTGCAGGGTGCTCAAGAGTTTGGCCAAGGTTAACGCTAATTCCTTTGGCCCCTGCCTAACAGCGGTTGCCACGATGCCAGCCCTCTTTTGTCGAAACAATGACCAAACAAAGAATGTCTTCAGAAACCTGTAAGCACGGGAATGGAAAGCGACACCGACTTTGTCCTTGCTTTGCCAGCAGCTGCAGCTCAGGAACTTGCCACATGAGTGAGGTCCCCGGGTGCTCCAGGGCGCAAGGAACCCGTTGCTGCAAGCAGATCTCAATGACCCGTAAGCAAAAGGCCAGGCACCGATTGCCCAAATCCAGGATCCTGCAGTCTCCAGGGGTCAACATGACACGGTCAACCCCCCAAATATCTGCACTTGTGCGCAAGGCTTGAGGCCAACCACGTCGACAATGCCTATTGCGACGGCCTCTGCGCGCCCGACTAAATGACTGACAAGGTGGCCCCATGCTGACTGCCAGGATCGCGCCAGTCACGAGCCACCGCAGAATGACTTCTTGCGTGCCAGTACCTCACACAACGTGCGTCTGGGACGGCGTCGAATCACTCCCCTTTCGATCAACAGGAGACTAAACAAACATCTCTGCAGCAGCCACAAGGCAAGTCAGGTCAAAGCCCTGCAAGATGTCCATGCCGATGCCAATCTTCCCCGGAAAATTGCACGCTGCGGATGCAACTGCGCCCACCCCGCTAAACAGCTCCAAAATGATTTGGCCCTGCTTGCTAGCAGCTTCCAGAGACCTCTCCACGTCTTTTGCTGCGCAAAGTGGAGCAGGGATGCTGTGAGCAAACGCGCTTGATCTAGGCTTGGCAACTTTCACAGCGCGCGCCTGCTTCTTTGGCCCATCTGATTGGCCCCCATCACGCAAGCGGCGTTTGCCACTTCCGCTTGCACCACCATGCAAGTTAACACCGCTCGCTGTTGCTGCAGAATCTTCCAAGATGAACCCCGTGCCTCCCCCTGCAGCTTCTTCTTCTGCTTCAGAAAAAGAGCTCTCCAGCGCAAAACCTTCTTCCTCGAAGAGGGAATCCTCTAGGACAAACCCTGGAGAACTGTGGTCTGATTCCAACTCGAAGCCATCGTGCTCCATGGCTACAGAAAGAAATGCGGCTGTGTAGTATTTTTTTGAGATCCATATGGTCCAAATTTCATGGGCTGCTAGCGGGTACCTCCCCTGAATCTGCGAAAGCATGGAACGACACAAACAGAAAGCAACCTGAGCACTAACATGCGCGACGAACAGCCAATGCACCGCAACATCCAAAAAACCGGCGTTCACGCTCTTATCCTACACCAAATGTGTTGAATTCCAAGCGGCGGTCTTCTTAGAAGTTGCATGCGCTAGCTGGGGCCTCAAAATTGGAACCTCGCACGTGGCCACTGTGTAATGCTTGAGAGCTCATAAGCACGCAGCATGGGCAAGCCAGCAAACAAGAAAGCAGCACGGCAGGAAAACAAACAAGGAGGGAAACAGGGAAGGAAAGAGCAAGGAAGAAAAGGAAAACAGGCAGGAGCAAAAGAAGCATAGCAGCTGGCAGCGTAGCAAGGCAGCAAACTCCAACTCTTTGATTTGAGCAGCCTGTGTTGCAAACTCAACTTCCAATGTTAACATGCCTAATCCATACTGGTAATGGGGCTGCTCCGTTGCAGCGGGCTCAAAAAACAGTATGGCAAAAGGGCCTGGGGGGAAACCAGTCATGAAACCACCTCGGACTTGCGCTTCCGCTTGCGAAACACTTGCACGGAACTTGCACAAAATCTTAGTCAAAACGGCAAAAATCGTGTATGTCTTTGGGAGCAACCAACAACAACCCCCCACATATTTCAATTTGCTTGGACGATTGAACGAAACCTTGGGATCCCCAAATACACAGTAAGTACGCCCCGCTTTTCGTTTTCGACTCACCTTGCCTGACAACCCTGCTCCCTTTTCAACGCAAGCTGTGTGCGAACGCACAGCATCTCTACCGTCACGGTTGCTCTGCGCTGCTCTATTGAGCATCTGCAGCCAAATCCCACAATGACTGCCGCTGCTTCTTCCATTGCAGCCCCTCCTCTGACTCAAGCCAGTCCGCCAAGCGAGCTCGCTCTGTGGAAACAGGCCCAATCCGTTGCCCACTCCGCCCAGCCTTCACGAACGCCGGCAAAGATTGCACGACTCCGTCAATAATGACACGTGACAGTGAGTTCATTGTCTGTGCGTCCAGGGTGGCAGGGGCGTACCTAATCCGCTCGCCAGCCCTCATCTCGTCTAGCAACTCAAGCTGGGTGTCTAGCTGGTCAGCAACAACTTCACCAAACTCCGACGGCAAGTCCCGCCCTCCGCTGCTTCGGGCCTCCGCCCAGACACGCGCTGGGCCACTTTCAGGCAAAGCTGCCCTGCGTCGCTTATAGCGCGCATCACGCTGCAAAAGTGGCAATTTGCCTGAGCTGAACAAGACTTCGGCAATGTCTGAGATCAGGCGTTCATCGCGTTCGGAGCCAGCGCAAGTGACACGCGCTTGTCGGAGCCGTAGCCTGTGCGCAGCCCGAGCGGGCCCCAGACCTGATACTGGGTCGTAAACCGAGTGGATCATGGATCCAATACGTTCACATGAGCTCGAGTTCGTGTTCATACATCTGTGCAATGTGTATAGCATAGCTGCATGCCAGCAATGCTTCCCATTCCTTGTGTGAGTGAACAGGCTAGCATAACCTCTCTACCGGGGGATCCTCGTGACACAGGGTCACTGCTAATGACTTACTGACAAGCAGCTGACGACTTCCAATGCCGAAACAACCCAAACGGCTATTGCAAACTGAGTGCAATCAATCCCTGTAATTCTTGTCATTTGTAAGGATGATTCGAGAAACTTGCAGTAATCAACATGTGTAGGAACGTCTCTAAACGTCTGAGGCAATCCAACCAAAAAAGTACCAAGTAAGCTGCAGCGTCTGGGGCTCGTGGAATTTCTGGTCTGTCGCAATGATTTTGGATATGGTAGAGGCGCACAGTTTCTTCATCAAGGCTGTCGCGTGCACAATCTTCCCACCATATGGCGCAAACCTCAAGCACCCGTACGCGCCCTGAGCAGCAAGCCAGACAGCCTTCTTGCGGGCATGTCCTCGTCTAGGGGCAGCATGGCCTCTCCACCAGCCAAGGGACTGGACGCTGTTGGCACGGACCAAAAACCGACGTTGGCCCTTGGTAAACCTTTTGCTTGTGTAGCCAGAAATACGATGCGTGAGAATTGCCACCTTCGTCTCCTCTAAGGATGCAGAGGACACGCGCCCAAATGCGCGAGCTAGCAAACGCACAAGCAGCCCGCATGGTGCCACAGGCTCCACCCATACATGAGTTGTTTCAAACCAGGAGCTATGCTGCAAATGCTTCTCAATCTTGGCTTGAGCTCTGACTCTTCGACAAAGGACTTGGTACTGCTCTGCAAGTTTGCGATCGCCGACCCATCGTCTCTCCACATAAGGGTGCGTTTCCTTGCAAACAAATCACCCGGCAATCCGAAGCCAAACCACGGACAACAAGTACAAACTAGCAAGCCTGTTGGCAAGCCTGTTTTGTTTAACCTTGCCAGAGCAGCCGGGAGGCA